AAAAAAAAAACGCCATGTAACCAACCAATCGTTGGAACGGTTAGAAACATACGAATTCAAATTGCAATAAAATCGCGTGTCTGTGAAATAATGCTCATAATGGCATAATTTTTGTCATTCAACACTCTCGTTTTAAACATTCCCTTATCTTCATCTATATGTTTATCTCTGTGTTTGTTTGTTTGCTTGCTTGCTTGTTTGTCAGCCGCGTTCACTGTGCAGGTCAAACTTTCCTCACGTGAAGGTGCGCAAAAGTCAATTTTTCGTTGATATACGCGTCTATCGTCTGCTAGTGGAACCGGTAATTTTATTGTTAACATACACATTACATGAATAAATTCTACGCAGACTTGACATTGTTTGGTAAGTTTGTGATGACATTTAATTTAGAATATAGCATTATAGGCCTATTTATTTACAGATCATTAACTATACATTTACTAATACATAATATATCTAACCTCACAGATAAAAGAAATGTATGCAGAATTAGAATGTCGTGTGTGAAAAAGCAAAAGGCAGGCATAGCCTATAAAATAAAATTATGGCATCTGCCATAAAATAGACTACATGAAAAGAGTAAGGCTTACATTATAATACTTATTGTGTCAAATGATATTAAAGTTAAGTCAGCGAATGTATTTTTATTTTAGTTTTTTCTCATGATGGTTTGATACCTGGAAGTGGATTTTTTTTCTTTTGATACATTATAAAGTACAATATTGCATTTTGTTTGTAGTATATTTCATACATCAATGTCATAATGTGAATACGTATCACATTCATAAAAATATATTAAATTTACATTAAGGCAAATTCAACATAACATTACACACATATTTGTGTTTGAAATTTTAATACTTGAAGAGGGATGACAGGGGACGGGGGTAATACAGCTAGGCTTATCCTGTTCCCCCAAATGGGTAGTCATACTAAATATTCTCCATAAGCGCCTGTTTATCCTTGCCAGTGAATGAAAAACAAAAACATCGTTCATAAGGAAGCCCTGATTTAAAACAGGTTCGTAGTTTATTTTAAAAAATCCAACTGAAAGTTGTTATTTTTTTTATAAATTCACAAAATATTTCTTGCCTATCGATATATGGAACGGGGAGAGAGAGAGAGAATAGTTTTTGTTTTTTTCGAAAACCCGGGCAACGCCGGGTAACGCTGCTAGTCATAAATAAGGCACAAGTTTAATATAGAGGTATTTAAGTCTTAGTCTCGAAAAGAAAAATATTAACAAGGAATTAAATACTATGGTGACTCTTTCCATCAGATGCAACGTCAACAGATTGTTAATGTATTTTACATATGCTAAAAGTACACCGTATGAGAGTTCCACTATATGCTTTTGTCTTTGAAACATCTAAAGGACGAACATGAAACAAAACTGATATAACAAATCATGATACTCGAGAGGTATTATACATGTATGTAAAACGTATAAAAAATTCGTAACTTATTAGAATTTCTGTGATGTTATTATAATTATATTTGTTTAGGCTGTCCACCAGATGTCACCACCTTAAGGAAAAATAGAACTATGCCTTGTTACTAGCATATATATAGTGGAGTAAAAGTTTATTTATTTATTTTTTGAGTTACTGTACAATGAAACCTCGTGAGCCAGTCATTATTTATTACGGAAACTATTGACGCATCGATCTATGAACTAGACTGAAAATACAAAATTAAAAACATTACGTGAAAATATCGAGTTCCTCACTACTACGTCAAAGCGTTTGTCTCTTGGCTGTTCTACTATAGTTTATCACATTAATTTAATTTACTGAGTCGGTGTTACTATATTAATTTTTTACGCTAGTTTATTAAGTCAGTGTTACTATAGCTTTAAATAAAATAACTGCAGGCATAATATGAAGGTCCAGGGTGGGGGACAAAGATTAGTGTATGACAATAACAAACTCTATATTTGCTGTAACTATACTGTTTGTTTTGTATTCATGAATGTTATACATTTTCATTATAGAAATTCTAAATATATGTCTGTTTCTTAGGTTTGTAAAAATATAAGGATCTGATCACTTCCTTGTCTCGGCATAGCCAAGTGATTAGGGCGCTTGAAAACTGTATTTTAAAAGCCTCATTTCAATTAGTAATTAACAAGAAGTGATAATGTAATTTTTTCATCCTAATTCTTTTGTCAACCAAATGTATTCTATAGCAGTTTTACTTAATTTCACTTAGTAATTATCGGTTTTCTGAATGCATTTGGCCCGGCATGGCCAGGTGGTTAGGGCGTTTGACTCGCAAACTGAGGATCGCGGGTTCGAATTCTCATTCCACCAAACATGCTAGCCCTTTCAGCTGTGGGGGCATTATAATGTAACGGTCCATCCCACTATTCGTTGCTTAAAAAAGGTAGCCCAAGAGTTGGCGGTGATGACTAGCTGCCTTCCCTCTAGTCTTTCACTGCTAAATTAGGGACGGCTAGCGCTGGCAAAGCTTTGCGTAAAATTCATAAAAAACAAACAAACAGATCACTTCCAAGAGTTTTCAGATAAACAAAAACAGGTTGAGCAATTTTTAGTATACTCATCCTTAGGAAAATGTTAGACAAACAAAAGCATTGAACAATTTTGTATACGCATTCATAAGAGAACGTGAAACATATCTAACAACTCTCCTATAATGACTACATCAAACATTGCTCAATGTGCGACTATCTATCTAAAAAAACTCCCATTAATGAGTATACAAAACTGTTCGATGCTCTTGTTTGTCTAACCCTCTCCTATGAGTGAGTATACCAAAAACTGCTCAATGTGCTTATTTATATCACATTCTCGTATGAGTGAGAATATAAAAACGATTCAGTGAGCTCTTGTTTGTCTAACCCTCTCCTATGAGTGAGTATACCAAAAACTGCTCAATGTGCGACTATCTATCTAAAAAAACTCCCATTAATGAGTATACAAAACTGTTCGATGCTCTCGTTTGTCTAACCCTCTCCTATGAGTGAGTATACCAAAAACTGCTCAATGTGCTTATTTATATCACATTCTCGTATGCGCGAGAATATAAAAACTGCTCAGTCAGCTCTTGTTTGTCTAACCCTCTTCTATGAGTGAGTATGCCAAAAACTGTTCAATGTGCTTATTTATATCACATTCTCGTATGAGTGAGAATACAAAAACGGTTCAGTGATCTCTTGTTTGTCTAACCCTCTCCTATGAGTGAGTATGCCAAAAACTGCTCAATGTGCTTATTTATATCACATTCTCTTATGAGCGAGAATATAAAAACTGCTCAGTGAGCTATTGTTTGTCTAACCCTCTCCTATGAGTGAGTATGCCAAAAACTGCTCAATGTGCTTATAAGAAATAGACGTTGACAAGCTCTCGATATGCTCATTCAAAGAAAAGGACTTAGACAAACACTCGTCAATCAAATGTTGAAATGATTATTCACAAGAGAGTAAAAAAAACGATAATAAGTAAAAGGTGAGTAAAACTTTTCAAGCAAGATAAATTAAGAAGTGTTATTGTTACTTACAATTAATCAAATTTCAATATAAACTTTCTTCAGAACCCAGTACTTTGAAGCACCATTGATTAAGCTAACTTAGCAAATGCAAAAGAATCCAGATACTAAAGGTAACACGAACTCTGAGAAGCCATCTCGGAAACAAATTTTGATGTTCTCTTAAAATATGTTGAATCAGTCTCTCTAACTATAGGAATCATACGGCATTTTTTAAGATAATTTCTTAATTAACAAGCAAAGTATATAAATGAAGATATTATAAGATCAAAATTCTTAGATGTACCAAATGATTTTTCTGAAACTTCCAGTCAGTTGAGATAAAAATATATTGTGGTGAAAACATTCCGACATAATTGAAACAGTACTGGTAGTTTGTATATTAGAAACATGTTTCTGGGATTTATCTACTGTAACTTGAAGCCCATCTGTCGTCGCTTAAAATATCCCATTGCAGTCAACTACAGCTGTGCTTACCATAAAAATAAGGTTCACCCACAGATATCGAGTTTACAAATTTTCTTGCTTCTCCGGTTGGTTTGACAACGATCTTCTACTATCAAAAGTATATTATCTAAATTTTTCCTCTTCTTGTCTGTTTTAGAACGATTCTAAACTAAAACTCCGGTTGTTGGTGGTTCGGGTCGGACGTGGCCTAATGGTTAACGTGCCGTACTGTCAGTGTGAGAGTTCCGGTTCGCGTCCAATTGCCATAAAAACACTCCGCGCTTTGGGACCATGGATGTGATGTAAGGATGACGATCAAATTTTACTATTCCATTAATTAAGCAAAAATAGCCTAAGAGTTAGCGGTGTGTGTGTGCTGGTCATTAGCTGCATTTTATCAATTTCTAGTCTCCCAGGGGCCTAGCGGTAAGTCTGCGAACTTATGCTAAAAACCTGTGGTGGGCACAGCAGAGATAGCCCATTATGTAGCTTTGCGCTAACATATAAACAAATTGTCAATTTAAATCAAAAACATCTAACGCAGATAGCCCTTGTGGTAGCATGCATTCATAAAGTAAATAAAGTAATTTTATTTGTTTGTTTGTTTTCAGATATATTTCACAACGGTGTCATTATCTGTCTTAAATTTGTAGTTGAAGCTTGTCTATATGTCTATACATAAGATAAACACTAGCCTCCTGCTTCCCCTAACAACGGTGGCGTAATTTGAAAGCAAAGTTTTTATTGTGCTTGACTTTCCTTAATTCCATATGCAAACAGCAGCAGACCAGGCCGAGCCCAATGGCCTTGGAAGGTGTATCTGAAGCTAATTAGCCTTGGTCAAGGGCACATACCGCTCATACCATAAGGGCGCTTAGCCCCATCACTTCTGTTCGTGTAATCTGTCTACACTACTTGAGCTGCTACTTTTTTTTTGAAACATTTTCAGTTGTTCGAGAAAGTAAAAGTCCCGTCTACCTCAGATAATGTACCGTACAACCCAGGTGTATCGTACATAAAAGGTATAATTTAGGAAGCTACATTGTAAATAAATAGGGTTATGGTAGATGTTAACCATATACACCGTATGGTCTTATCCGCTTTGGAAGTGTGCCAATTTTTCTAAAGGAACGGTCTCTTAGAAAAACAGCCCCGTTTTCGAAATCTTCGTTGATACACTATCATCTATAATCAGTGTTTTTGTTTTCTTTCCTTTTCTTAATGCAATGTTAGATTGATAGAATGTTTCATGGCATGAATATTTTTAACTTAATTTTCATGAGGAATTTCTAAAAAACCCTATGCAGATCTGATTGAAAGATAATGTTTTATAGATATGGGATATTTCTGGTTACAGTTTAAACTAATATTCTGAGTTTCTCCTCAGTAAATATTTGAAGAGAAAGTTGTTAACATCATTAGCGTCAGTACACCATTCTTTCGACTTTTTTCATGTAAACAATAAATTACTTGTTTAATGTTAACCTCTTATATCATTTTTCTCACTTCCATTTTCTCATTATATGCTTCAGAATATAAACCAGTGTTTAGCGATACTCTAATGAAAATCATATGTTTCGACAGTTCCCTTCTCGAGACTAAGATTACTTCGGATGACCTCTCTAACATTATTATCTGTTCCATTCTGACATGCCTAATCTCCTTTACCGTGTAATACTCTAGCAGAGTGCTAATTTTTTGGTAAACGAGTGGCGCCAAGGCGCCTAGTTCAACAAATCTGACAAGTACCTGACGTCATAAGCAAGTTGACCAATAGATTTATACATCTTAAACTGGAAAAGAGACAGTCGCCACATCACCATGGGGACCCCACAGAAGTCACGGAACTCTGCGGAGAGGGATATTTAGAGGCTATATATAGCCTTTACACAGTAAGACTTATTTTCGGAAACGCTAATTAGTTTCCTATAGTTTCCTATAAGTAACTTATCTATAACAACTATAATAAAATTTCTGTTTTACTCTCTATATTTTCACATTTTGTTAAATTGTTTATTTTGGGATTCGAAGGGGAAAACTTTACTGTCTGTACATTTTTGAGAATTTTAATGTTGATTTTTCTGATAATTTTACCCAAATAAATGAAATACTCAGTTGAGAAAGGATAGAAAAATAAACAAAACTCAAATTAATTTTTCTAACTACTAAACAAGTCCTTAAACAATTTAAACGAAGTAACTTACTTTTGCCACTTTTCATGTTGTATTCAGCCAAACAAAATAATAACTAATTTCCATTTAAAACGTTATAACGGACAATTTGACGTTGTTTTTCATCCATAAACAACGAGTTTTATTATGTTAAAGACCTTCTTGAACAAAATAAAAATACAGTGTGCAAAAATTGTTGGTAATTGTTTCATACATTTCTAACGTAAAAAGAAAAGAAAAACAAACAAACAGAAAATTAATTTTTGAGCATCTTATCTCTGGTTAAGAAATAATAAACAGGTGAAGTTATCCAGGTACTAGTTTCTCGTCTGTTGTACGTTTGCAGTGGGAAAATGTTATTTAGTATTCAGGTAAGAACAAAAATTTATATGGTTTGAGATTGTATAACCTTCGAAACCTTATTTCGTATTGTATACAGGGTTGATTAGGAGTACATTAAATGGTCAATATGGAGTTGAAAAGTTTACGTTTTTCGTTGAAAGCAGCACCGCTAAATGACTAAAATGACATAGTTATTTTACGTGAGTAATCAAATGTTATATATAAACATTAAATATCGAAAAAAAATTCCTATGGGAAGAAACATAACAAAAGCTTATAGTTACGTACAGTAGAAAAAGAAATATATATATATATTGTTGCTTGTAATAATTCAACAACTCAAATAACTTAGATCTGTATTGGTTTAATTCGATATAGGTATATACTTTTATTGTAATTGTTTCGTAATAAACTGTGAGTTAGAGATCAAACGAACTATGTTGTTTTAAAGTACATTTCGCGGAACTAGCCAATCTGTCTAAACACTTGATAGTATTCCTAGGATGGTCGTTCCGTTTAGTGAGTGATGACCGACTATCCCACACAGCAGGCGGGTTTCTCTCAGGTAGAAATAGTTTCAAGATCAAAACTAAGATAATGCGTCGCTGATGGGTATATGGTTTCAAATTACTTTTACGGATTAGGAGGGACGCAGTACGGCTAACACAGGGAGCAGCTCTTTAGTGCCGACCATCACAGAAATAGCTTTGTTATTTAATTTTTGATGCAGGCTAAGATTATTCTTTTCTCTCATAGAATTTATTGAACTGGCATAACCATCGCTGTTCTTTTCTTTAGGTTTACCGAACATCAAAAGGATAACCATTGCTCTTTACAATATTATATATAACTTTCATCAAAGGGAGAAGAAGGGAAACTCGTTGGACCATACAAGATGATCACTAAATACAAAAAGAATCCAAATTTAACAAACTTTGAAACGGACTTCGAAAACTTAGAGAAGAAAATCAGAAAAGTACGTTTGATAAGATCAAGTCTTGTGAATGAATAGCCCCAAATGAATTTGATTACTGCTCCTGAAATAAAAAGTATTTGTATGAAGGAAAAATATATAAACATACTTTACTGGTTATATAAATCTGAACAATAAAAACAGCAAAAGTACGGTTTAGTTTGTTTGAAGTAATGAAGCCTTTGAGATAACTGCAAGCCAATGAACAGTGTACAATAATCAACTGTATCTTCACACATTTACTTTGGTTGATATTCAATTCTTGACGTAACACGTGTATCCACATAGTTTCTTTTGCTCTTAAATTTTTTTCACTTCAAGCACCCCCTAGATACAGATAGTATTTCGTATTGTAATTGTTTTGTAATAAACCGCGAAATGAAAGTTAAAGTAAACCACGCGGAACTGATTTCTAAGTATTCCTTAAATAGTCGTTTGGTTTGATGTTTGGTTGCACTAGAAACTCTCCCATGGTTTCAAACAATTTAAAGGCATTACTGTGTGAATTTTTAACAGCTGTTTAAACGTACATTCCTATAAAACAATTAAACTTCTTATCAATATTTTGAGTTAGGTTTGCATTGATTATAGGCACATTGAACTTCTTACCAATTTTTATTTGGGTAAAATGTAGCTTTTGTGACGACCAAACCTTGAATTTATGATTGTTAAATTGTTAAAAAGAGCACAAAAGTAAACACTAGTGCGTTAATTCTTATTAGCTCAGTTGATAAAACATTCGATGCAGTCCTGGGTTCAAATCTTGATCGAGGGAGACATTTATGTAATAAAAAAGGATTACCATAAGTAAAACTGGCGTCTAACATGGGGCCGTTCCACGATCTTGAGATAAGGGTATATTGTTTCTGAGAGGGGAATCGTGTAGTAGTTTGAGTTGTTAAAAGTGCCTTGAACTAAAATAGTGGGTTATCCTTTTAGCTCAGTTGGTAGAGCACTCGACGTAGTGCGAAGCGTTCCGGGTTTATATCTTGCTTGAGGGAGATGAAACAAAACATTGGATTAATACAGGAAAAACTGACACCCAATATGAGGGCATCCCATGATCTTGAGATAAAGTCTTGTTTATGAAAGAGGGGAAAAGTTGTAGTTTGCGTTATTAAATAGTGTATGGCAATTAAATGTTAAGTAGTGTCTGGCAGGTAAACGTTAAGTAGTGCCTGGCAGGTAAACGTTAAATAGTGTATGGCAAGTAAATGTTATGCAGTGTCTGGCAGGTAAACGTTAAATAGTATATGACAGGTAAATGTTAAGTAGTGTATGGCAAGTAAATGTTATGCAGTGTCTGGCAGGTAAACGTTAAATAGTATATGACAGGTAAATGTTAAGTAGTGCCTGGCAGGTAAACGTTAAGTAGTGTATGTTAAGTAGTGTCTGGCAGGTAAACGTTAATAGTGTATGGCAAGTAAATGTTAAGTAGTGCCTGGCAGGTAAACGTTAAATAGTGTATGACAAGTAAATGTTAAGTAGTGTCTGGCAGGTAAACGTTAATAGTGTATGGCAAGTAAATGTTAAGTAGTGCCTGGCAGGTAAACGTTAAATAGTGTATGACAAGTAAATGTTAAGTAGTGTCTGGCAGGTAAACGTTAAATAGTGTATTGCAAAAAATGTTATGTAGTGTCTGGCAGGTGAACGTTAAGTAGTGTATGTTAAGTAAATATTAAGTAGTGCCTGGCAGGTAAACGTTAAATAGTATATGGCAGGTAAATGTTAAGTGGTGTCTGGCAGGTAAACGTTAAATAGTGTATGGCAAGTAAATGTTAAGTAGTGCCTGGCAGGTAAACGTTAAATAGTGTATGACAAGTAAATGTTATGTAGTGTCTGGCAGGTAAACGTTAAATAGTATATGACAGGTAAATGTTAAGTAGTGCCTGGCGGGTAAACGTTAAATAGGGTATTGCAAAAAATGTTATGTAGTGTCTGGCAGGTGTACGTTAAATAGTGTATGACAAGTAAATGTTAAGTAGTGTCTGGCAGGTAAACGTTAAATAGTATATGCCAAGTAAATGTTAAGTAGTGTTTGGCAGGTGAACGTTAAATAGTGTATGACAAGTAAATGTTAAGTAGTGTCTGGCAGGTAAACGTTAAATAGTGTATGCCAAGTAAATGTTAAGTAGTGTGTGGCAGGTAAAAGTTAAGTAGTGTCTGACAGGTAAACGTTAAATAGTGTCTGGCAGGTAAACGTTAAATAGTATATGGCAGGTAAATGTTAAGTAGTGTCTGGCAGGTATACGTTAAATAGTGTATGGCAAGTAAACGCTAACCCTTTACCTCATTTGATAGAACATTCGCATGGAGTCCCAGGTTTACATTCAGCTCGAGGTAAATGAGAAAGGGAATAAATATTTCGCTATTGTACAGTGCTAAGTTTTTATTAGAAATCCTGTAGAATTTTATGATTCTCAACTAAGAATTTGAGAACATTATTTCATTCTCCTGATAAGTCTATCTTTTATTTTTGAAACGCGTTTTGCGATCAGAGCGTATATTTAGTCCTGTCTGTTTGTTTGATGGCCATATTTGTAAGACGTGAACACATGGACTGCTTTTTTACAGTGTTTTTCTAGAATACTTCTAATTAATATTAAGTATTTATTATTTATATTTTCTTGTATTTATGACAAAGCTACTAATGCTGTCTATCATCGTTCCCAATTTTGAGTTACTGATGAGAATAAATGTAGCCATCAACGCTAAGGGATTGTCTGTCACTTTTATAACGCACCCACAGCTTAGTGTAGAGCATATTTTGTGGTATCGCTCTGATTTAAATATGAGTTGAGGATAAGCCTATCTTATCACAATATTTTCCTAGAAAATTCTTCAGAACAAAAACAAAAGGATGTCCAAGTGACCCTGTAATGACTAAACATTAAAGACTATGTAAAGAGTCCCTAATACAAAGATTAAAAATAAGCTAATGGTTAAATATATCTGCCTTCTTGTCACAGTTTTATTAGTTGTTTTTTGTACTTCTTCTGTGTTAGGTTTTGTTCAGGCGGAAAACGTACCACTTCATGAGTATTATTAAACTACTTAAGATTGCTTTTACCTGAAAAATAAGTATTAAACCCTAAAATAATAATATTTAAACAGAGAATAATATAGTTATTTTATTTAAGATATCAACTTATGACTCGATTCTGGGTAAACTTCCTGTTGCTGGGTTGGTTTTGTCCATTGCCGTACTGTAAATAATTGCTTACATTATCGTTCTCATGAGTCCGTTTATTTTTATAAGGATTTTGTATTCTTAAACATACAAAGTATAATAATGAACTGCGTTACTGTAATTAATGTTCGAACACTTAAATATTGCAACGTAATTTCAAACCACACGTAATTTACAATCAAACAACAATGAAATAAATAGTATAACGAGTAAGGATGGTTTATTATCTGTTACAACGACAACATTCACTTCAGTTTCTTCACAAAATTTTAAAAGTTTAGATTTGCTGGTCATGAAATAGCATAGAATGTTCTATACTTGAAGTTTCAGAATGACAGAATGATCCCTTGTTGTATTCAAAACCGTTTTCAAGTAAACGTGAGACAAAGGTTTATCTGAAACGATTCTCAATGAACAACTGACCGGTGTCCGGCACCAGATTAATTATAGAGCGCCGTGCCGGAAAAGAGAGATAATTTTGTGGTCAATAAAGTCCCCCACTAGGCGCGCGCCTCGAGACAAAGCTTTGTGCTTCCACTATTGTCTTTCCCAGACAGTAGTAGATAATGTATTTTGGCTTCAAGTATCGACACTGTTGGTTTTTCAAACGTTTGAAAACCAGCGAGCCACACAGCGCGCAGCGGGGGCTCCCCTTGTGTCGACCCCTTGTTCCGCCCGGTAAGTTCTCTATGTTGGGAAAAAGTAAGAGGAGGGATTGCTAATGTCATAACCTCCGAGGGAGGTCGCCACCATCGTTTTGCCCGAAGGTGCCTAATATATGGAACAGCATCTACAACCACCGACCAGTAAAGAAAACGAAGGAAAAGTGCCAGTTGATTCTTGTTAAATAAGACATAAACATTGTCCATGTCCTCGTGGTGGCTGTGTAGAACCCAGACAGACGTGTTTCTTGTGTAAATATCAAATACATGTAGGTTTAACAGATCATTTACTCTTTCAACCGTTTTTTAAATCATCAAGGTATTAAAATAATTGTTCAGTAGTAATTTTCTCGGAAGACCAAACATACCTAACTGCACCTTAGATAAAAAAAAAGAAAGTGTGAAATAACTAGTGAGTTCGTGTGTAAATACTTTTCCCCTCATTTTTAGAAAACAGCTAAAGCTTATACAAATATTATGTCGAAACACGGTGACCAGATGTGGGCAAGGGGCAGGTTTGTCGTCCAATTCGTCACCTTCTATGGTATAATGTCTACTTTCATTACACATCTTGGCCACCCAGTGTTCGGGAGTATTATTGAAGGTAGGTTTAATTAAGTATTATTCATTCTTTGAAAAATTAAGAAAAATATTGAATTTTACTTTTTTAAATATCTTACAAAATGCGGTTCATGCTTTGTTTAGCAGTTTTGTATTATGAACTTAAGCACGTGCGTATGGACAAAATCGTATGGAATATTAAGAACAAAAATTTAAAAAGCGTTCTAATTCTGTGTCATACTTTATGTCATACTTTACATGTATAGGGCTGCTTTTAGAAACTCTATAAAACAACGTTTGTTTACTGGAAAATAACGGTTCTAAGCAGGAAAAACTTGAAATAAGAAGTAAACTTCCCAAATTTTTTACAAACATCTCCTTTTTTCAATACTATTGAAACTTTCTACTTAAAAATAAAATCGTTTTTTACAATTTCAAACAAATGGTGTCGTATAAGTCTAACTATTAATTAATCACTACTGTGCTGAGAGAAACAAAATTTTAGGACTTATTACAATATTATGGCTTCAAATCCTATTGGGTTTTCACTTTAACCAAAGTTTTCCTAATGGGTTTTCACTTTAACCAAAGTTTTCCTAATGGGATTTTACTTTAACCAAGGTTTAAGTAAATTTAAAATAACCACGTGACATTTTCATTGTATCGGTTGTGTTTCATATTTGTACATCAAGCAACAAGAATAACTTTGCCCCAGAGAAATTGTTGCCCCCATTAGCTCTCTACCAGTTGCTTAACTGAACAAGTTATCAATTATCCAATAATCTTAATTTACTGTTACATAGTTTTAGAAAACAAACTTACGTTGCGAAAAGTACAATAATTAATATAGAGAGGAAATATGAAATTTTTGCATATATGCCGCGGTTAAAGTTTTTGTTCACAAATCAAACCGATGGATATCTTGATCGTTAAAACAGAAGTATTTACAACAAAAACCTTACCTTTAGCAACACTTT